GCTGCAGGTTTGGGAGCTCCAGAGCTACAGGTTTGGGAGCTCCAGAGCTACAGGTTTGGGAGCTCCAGGGCTGCAGGTTTGGGAGCTCCAGGGCTGCAGGTTTGGGAGCTCCAGGGCTGCAGGTTTGGTGGCTCGGGAACTGCAGGTGGGACTTCTCTCGGCTGCCTCCTCCAGCAGTCGGTGCCTTCACGGCCCGGCCGGCGCTTGGTGCCCGCGGGACGCGGGTCCCGGCCAGGCGTGGGGCCCCCGGCAGGTCCTCAGCAGCCGCTTCGCGGGGCTCCRAGGCCGGGGCGGCTGCCGGCCCCGCCACGCTCTCCTCAGTCCTATGCAACCCCCTGTGCTCTGCGCCGGCCCCGCAGGTCCCTGCGCTGTGCCCTGCCCTCGTCCCCGTGTCCCGGCTCCCCTCAGGGCTCCGCTTCCCGGCGCGGGAGATGGCGCAGCAGGAGCCRGGGCTCCGGGCAGCCCCTTCACCCGCTGTGCCTTGTGCCGGGCACAGAGCGGCCGCCTCCCTCGCGCCGCCGCTGTGTCGGCGACCTCCAGCCCGCGGGTTTCCGTGCTCCGTGCACCCCACACTCCTTCCCATCCTCCGCAGGGACCGCGGGGCCGTTTCTGCTCCGCGCCGCCCGCTCCGGAGCCGAGCAGACGGCGCCCATACCCACCGGGTGTTGAGCCACGCGCCAAGCGCAGCGGCTCCGAAAACCACCAGAGACCCACGGGCTCCTCCCTGCTCCCGGTTAGTTATCGGGAGAGGAGAGAAGAGCAGGAGGCACCGGCGGCTCGGCCGGCCACGCGCTTCCCACGGGAGCCCCGCGCCGAGSCGCGCTCCCGCCCGCGACGCCTGGCCCGTCCTTGCGCTTTCCACGTGTTTCTGCAGGACGAGGGGTCCAGGCGTCCGAGCAGAGGGGAGACGCCTGTGGAAGGTGTTTATTTTCAACCCAAATTTTTTATTTTTTTGCTTTTTCTCTTTTTCCCCCCCTTTTTTTTTTTTTTTTGGCCTTTGAAAAAAAAAAATTGGTCCTTGCTTTTGATGTTTATGCTGCCTACCTGTAAATCCAGATGTACTTAAGTGGCTGAAATCCTTGTTCTTAAATCAGATACACATTATAGTTTTGAACTATATATATAGTAAATATATATATATATATGCCTAACCCAGCAAAAAAAAAAAAAAAAAAGGAAAAATAAAAATAAAGTATTTGGGGGTGGGGAAATGCTTGTTCTTTGAAATGAATCACAATTGGGGGATAAAATTGTGTTTCCGAGTGCCTCAAGATATGAATTGTTTTCATTTTTTTAAATAATTTTATACAAGTGTCAAAACAGCTGGCTGGATTATTTGGAATTTTTAAATAATCCTAACTTTTTTAAAGTAGATTTTGAGAACTGTCCTGTATATAACAGTAATGTAGCAATAAATGTGACATTTTATAACAACATTCCCTTTATTTTTCCCCGTCTTTCGGACGTTGTATGCCTGTGAGTGAACAGTTGGAATAAAGGTTTTACCTGGTGCTATGGAAGAGCAGGGGCGGCGCAGGGAGGCTTGGGGATGCTATCCGGGTCTCTCACTGCCGGGCACCACTGTCCCCTCGGTGCTGTGTCCTCCGTGCTGTCCCCTCCGCACTGTCCCCTCCATATTATCCCCTCAATACTGTCCTCTCTGTGCTGTCCATCACCAGTGTCCATTGCCACTGTCCCCTTGGTGCTGTCCCCTTGGCACTGTCCTCTCACCGCTGTCCCCTCTGTGCTGTCTCCTCCGTGCTGTCCCCTCTGCACTATCCATCACCAGTGTCCATCGCCACTGTCCCCTTGGTGCTGTCCCCTCAATACTGTCCCCTCAGCGCTGTCCCCTTGGCACTGTCCTCTCACCGCTGTCCCCTCCGCGCTGTCCCCTCAACGTTGTCCTCTCACTGCTGTCCCCTCTGCACTGCCCATCACCACTGCCCACCGGCGCTGTCCCCTCAGTGCTGTCCCCTTGACACTGTCCTCTCCGTGCTGTCCCCTCCATGCTGTCCTCTCCGCACCGTCCCCTCCACGCAGCCCCTCGCCCGGCCGCCCGGGCTCCTCGCCCCGCGCCGAGGCCAAGGCCTGGGTGGCCGCTCGGGTGACCCCCGCTGCGTGCGGTGGCTCTGCGGTGCCCGGTGGCCTCCGCGCCACCCGCCCGGGCGCCCTGGTGCAGGGCCAATGACTCCGTGTGGGGACATAGCGGTGTCACCAGCTGGCGATGCCACCCGGGAAGGGCRGCTCCAGTTGGGCATTGGGGATATTTTCTACATGGAAACTGGTGAAACTGGTGGAAGGGGCTGTGCGAGCAGGTGCAGGGCCCCCATCACSCTGCGAGACGCGGGGCAGGCGCGGAGGACACGGCGTTGCGGGGCTCGCGCTCCGTCCTGASAGACCCCCAGCCTCAAGCGCTGCGGTCCGGGAAGGACCCCGCCATTTTGTGCGCGGGGCTGTGGTGGGCGCGGGGTGACCCTGCGGGGGCTCCTGTCCCCCCCGGCCCCACGGGAGCCCCGCGGCGCCCCCCGTGTCCCCGCGG